ATACATCTTAAGGTTGCTAGAACGCTTTCGTCTATGAACAAGGGGAGGGTAATTGGGTAGTAAAGGATATGATGACCTGTGCGCTAATGCCACGTGTAACCCCTCTAGTTGAGGAAGGTTTACCGGGTATTGTACAGATGTGATCCTATAGGCTAACAAACCTAGGACTTCCCTCATCTTAGCTCATATGTGTGCTTAGACTGCTTATCTGTTAAATCTCTTTTATCTTATATGTGTGCTTAGACTGTTTATCTATTAAATCTCCTTTATCTTATATGTGTGCTTCGACTGCCTATCTGTCAAATGACTAATTCACAAAAAATGAGTTTGGCCGGGACCCACCGTTGTGGACCTCGAGGGGTGCCTAACACCTTCCCCTCAAGGTTATTTCGAGCCCTTACCCTAGTCTCTGTTAATGCAAACCGGTTTCATGAGTTATTTGCTTTAGGTGCCATAACGCACCTTAAATCCGTTAGGTGACGACTCTTCAAATTCAAATACCCAATTCAAGAAAGGAAATGAGTTGTTCCCAATGAATGTCGAAACCCGGACTCCGCGAGGAAAAACGGGGCGCGATAGCTGGGATAAGGGTTAGAGTCTAACTCCAATATCCAGCAACAATTCATAACAACATAATAAAAATAGTGCAAGAAAAATAACTCAGAGGTATGATGCTCAACTCATTCACAGTTGCTGAAAATAGACATGTTTTTCAAAGATGTCAGTAAAACTCAATTCCTTTCACCAAATCACCAAAGATATGAGTAAGTCCGAAAACTATTATTTTTTCCAAAAACCTTTCAACAATAATTAAGATATTTCATTATCAGATAGCATGAGGAAAGTACATCTTTATACCTACATCTCGATATGCAAGTGCAGAATGTCACCAAAATTGGATAGCATGAGGAAATGCATCTTTATGCCTGTATCTCAAGTACGCATGTCAAGTGCAATGCATCTAAGTGATGAACTCATGTACTTACACTCTCTGAGTACTCAATCTCACTGTCTCGTATCCTCACTCATCATGCTCAATACTCAGCACACTCAGTCACTCAGTACTGTACAGGGCAGATCAAGCCCAAACATAAATAAATCGAGAGCAGATCAAGCCCAAATATAAATAAATCCAGTGTAGATCCAGCCCAATGTAAATAACTGCTAGCATTGCGCCAATGGTGGATGTGCAGACCCGGAGGGGTCGATCTAGCCCAAGCACTATAATAAGCCAAATCCTAGCATGAATTAATAAAGCCTGCTGCGGCGTGCAGCCCGATCCCATAAATATCACTCACAACGAGCCCTCAGCCTCACTCAGTCATCAATCTCTCTAGTCTCTCGGGCTCACAACACTTATGCTAAGCATCCCTAATCAATAATATGAGACGTGACAATATACGATAACAGAGACTGAGATATGATACGTAACATAACTGCAATAAAGCAAATAACTCAACAGCAAAGAACGACCACTGTGGGTCTCAATAGTACCAGCATATAGCCTAAACATGATTTCTAGCATAAATCACAGCTCAAGTGCTCTAACACATAGAGTACAGTAAAAATGTTCGGATAAGATAGCTACACAGTTTCATAGAATCGACTAAATCACAATTCACACGATGCAAGCCCACATGCCCGTCACCTAGCATGCGCGTCACCTCAACATCAATAACATAACACGTAATTCCGGGTTTCTTACCCTCAGCACTAAGTTTAGAGTGTTAGTTACCTCGAACAGGCCAAATCCAATACCGAGAAGGCCAAACGATACTCCAAAAATACCCTCCCACGCGTAACGATCTTTGAACGGCTCGAAACTAGCCAAAAGCAACTCATATACATCAAATAATGCCTAAGAAAACAATTCCAAAAGATAAAGGCTGAATCTTTAATCAAAAGCCCAAAGTCGACCAAAAAGTCAAACCTGGGCTCGCGCCTCAGAATCCGACGAAACTCACAAAATCTGATAACCTATTCAATTACGAGTTCAACCATACTAGTATCAGTCAAATCCGACCTCGAATTGATGTTCAAATCTCAAAAATTCGCTCTATGAAACTTTAGACAAAATCCCCCAATTTCTCTCTTGAAATCCTCAATTAAATGCCAAAACCGAAAATAGATTCATGAAATAAAATTAAAATTGAGTAGAGAATACTTACCACAATCAGTGTAATGAAAATCGCCTAAAAATCGCTAAATCCCGAGGTCCCCAAATCAAAATATGGATAAATGTCTCAAAGATCCGAAATTGGATATTAAATCCACTGCCCAAGCTTCCTTCTTCACGATTACGAACATCGCTTTGCGATCGCGATGAACAAATTCTTCAACAGCGATTTCCAAACTCCTCCCAGATAGCCTCTAGTATAATTGTCATAAAGTTTTGTACTAAACTCCAAATGACAAATGGTTTAATTTTCTAAAAACTACACATCAACGGCTGCAACTTTCATTTTTCAATCATCTCCAAATTCCTTATAGATTGCAAGATATAAGCTTCCAAAGTCAGCCCTGTGCAGCAGAAATTTCTCCTATGCGATCGCGGAAAGGCTTTCATTATCGCGATTCACAAGACCACAAACTGCAGTTTGCTCTTCGCGAATGCGTCCAAATGTTCGTAATCACGATACATACCCCTGTAGCCAAAAACTAGTAACTGAAAATGGCCTAAAAATGGTCTGAAACCACCCCGAAACTTACCCGAGCCCTCGGGGCTCCACACCAAACATCCACACAAGTCTAGAAACATTATACGAACTTACTCGCGCAATCAAATCACCCAAAATAACACCTGAAACCATGAATCGGACATCAACGCGCATGAAATTTGAAGGGAGAACTCAAGAACTTCTAGAATTGCAACCAAGCATCTGAATGCTATCAAACCAACTCCAAATGACCCCGAATTTTGCAGGCAAGTTCCAACTCATATTGCAGACCTACTCGATATTTCAAATCAAACTTAACAACATCAAAATCACAAATCGCACCTCAAATCGACTTAATGAAGTTAATAAACTTTCAAAATTCAAATCTAACGGCGAACAAACCTAAACACCTCGGATTGATCTCAAATTTGGTACACAAGTCATAAATGACATAACACACCTACTATAACTTCCGAAATTAAAATCCAACCATGATATCAATTAAGTCAAACCTATGAACATTTCCAAACCTTCAAATTTCAAACTTTTACCAATTAGTGCCGAATCCTTCTAGAAATATCCAAATGCAAATCCGGGCATACGCCCGAGTCCAAATAATCACCATCCGGACATAACGGAACCATCAAAACACCGTTCCGAGGTCAAACATGGTCAACTCTTCCAACTTGAAGCTTCAAACATGAAATTCATTTTTCCAAATCACTTCCGAATAACCTAAAAACTAAAATCGACGATTCACACAAGTCACAGTACATCATACGGAGCTACTCATGCCCTCACCCTACCGAGCGAAGTACAAATTTTCAAAACGACCGGTGAAATCGTTACACTGAGGTTTGAAGTAGTTTTAACTAAAGGTTTGAATTTATAAAATGTATCCACAATATTAGTTGTATTGGATTTATCTTTATCACCTTGAGAATTTGTTGTGTGGAAAACTCTATACATGTAGTTGCATAAAAGAGGAAAGCCTCTCTAATCTGTAATACACGATTCCTTTACTGAATGCACAAACTCTTTCAATCCACGTTGGATTTGGATCATGGGAGTAATGTCAAGCCTGCTGAATTTACCATATTTGATAACCTGTATAAGAAATTCTTAAAATATCAATAAATATATATTTGATTGTGAACTCATTTATCATTGTATTTCATTTAAGTTTATGTGCGGGCGCATAAACTTCAAATTAATCCTAAATCCACCTCTATCTACCGGGGATCTTTATCAGGTAGCCAATCATATTTATTGTTTACTTTTTCTAGCCATATACATAGATTATACACTAATTATGTACGATTATACACATATTAAATATAAATTATACATGTATTATATCTCCGCTGGCTATTTTTAATTTAAACTATTGAGGGAGCGGCAAATTGAGTTAATTCTTCTAGTTTTTAAAACTTGAATTTGGTAAAGGAATTCATTGATATGTAAGTGAAAAACTCAGATTTAATTTTTCACCCTTAAAATTCGAGTATATGGTGTTTTAATTAGCTGGTGAATGTGTTGCAAATTGCTAATGGACACTGGATCTTATGATTAGTATGATCTCTATACCTTTCATTTTAAGAATTAACATACATGCATTTGCTAGCAGACAGAGAAAGGTGTAAATAATCATGTGATTAATATTTATGGAATATGAATACGATCACATCATCAAGTGCGACTACGTTTAACTACAATCCACGTCACTTTTCTACATAAGTTATTCCATAAATATTAATCACATGATTATTTATGCTGGTCCATCAGAAATGACCTCTTGAACAATGTCTATCGCTCTGCCATGACTGTTCCCTATTTTTTAGCATTTTAGGGCCATAAATTAGGAATTCAAGACGATTTCCAAATTTTCGTGTGCAATAGTCCGTGCCATCTGCATGAACTCAGACGACTAGCTCTGAAGTGCATAAAATTTAGCGAGCCCATCACAAATGAACTAATGAACAATAGTCATCGCTTCGACGTGACCATTCCTCATTTGTTTGGAATTTTTGGGCCATAAGGTATGAATTCAACATGATTTCTGAATTTTCGTGTGCTAAGTCCACACCATCTGCATGAACTCGGGTGACTGGCTCCGAATCACCTAAATCTTGCGGGCCAATCAGAAACGACCTAACGAACAATACTCATCGATTTTCCACGATCGTTCCTCATTTTTTGGCAGCCATAATAAATGAATTCAGCATGATTTTCGAATTTTTGTGTGTTGTAGTCCATGCCATCTACATGAACTCGAGCGACCAACTCCGAATCGCCTAAAATTTTGCGGTTCCATCATAAATGACCTAATGAATAATACTCATCTTTTCGTCATGAACGTTCCCTATTTTTGATTATAACACTTGATCTGTCCCTTCGCGGGATACACGTGCAACGCATGTGGCGAGAGACTAGTAAAATAAAAACAGGCATAGCACCAACCAGTGGGAAGCATGTAAACCAACAAACATGCCGCATGAAAAGGGTGAAACTTTATGACAGAACTTAGACTTTAAAAGGCCTCAGGTAAGTAACTATTACCACGCTTTAAATGATTGAATTTGATATGGCAGATTCCAGCAGAATAGCCCCATCCTCAACGATCATTTATCCACTGCTCACGACTTCCAGAGTATGTTGCATTATTTGCTTTACTGCTTTGACGTTTGGGTAGAAATATTCAGGGATCGGAGCAACACGTGCCACTGACCTGACAATTATTTGATATCTGGTCAGATAGGCCACAAATATGTATATCCTAGTAGCGGAACTAAGCAGGTATATAAACTTAAATACAGAAGCATACAGGATAAGTTTCTCAGATTTCATTAAATGAAGAAAAAAATTATATAAGTACCAGCGCAAATTTTTCAAGAATCTGCACACCACCACATTCATAAGAATGTCCACAGGTTCAGAGGACACAGAAGAAGGCATAAATCACTCCCTGATACCTCTAAACAGCTTGGATAAAACCATACTTGCTGTAAGGAAAAACAATGATCAAGCAGATCATATCAAATAAGATAGCTAGGTTTTACATAAAGCGGCAAATACAGGATTAGAAGCAGTGTGATAGACATCAAAAGAGACACTTCTCATCTCTAGATATAGAACAATGATCTACTTCTGATTGGATATATAGTTCACATCCAATCTATATCCTAATTACCTAAACTACGTCACATTTGTTCGATATTTCTGCATCGACTAATATAAAATGGTATGATTTCTACTTAATCGTATACTTTTGTTTTTGTACATATGCATGTTCCAAAGACAGAGAGTCCATGTTGGTTGGGATGGGACGGGGGCAGTTGGAAGGAAGAAAGGCCTTAAACCAAGAGCGAAATGCAGGAAGAAGTACTTGTAAGTCTCACTTCAAACATGATACTTAATGCTTTAACCCAATATCCAACCATCAAACAGTAAAAGAACGAACAAAGGTAAACTACATGTTCGTGAAAGGAACAATACAAGCACATGCTTAAACAGACTGCCAAGATGAAAACTGGGATAATAAAGTCATAAAGTCCACAACCACTTTGGTAGAGGGTAGACTAACCAGAGTTTTATTCACTTTAAAAGGCAACACCAATCAAAACAATTCATTAGATCATTATATAATTGCAAATTAGTTATATTTATATCCATTGGATTGTTTTTCCTAGCCAGAGGATCTTTAAGGTCAGACCGAAAAGGTAAAAGGGGTAGCCGACATATTTTCGTTCAGATTCACAGCTGAAGTTCCACAACCCTCTGAATATCACAACCTCTTATTGGACTACTATCTTCTGTAACAAAGAAAATACATTCCATTCCTTACGGTAGCTTTTTGGAGCACATATACTTGCCACCAGCTTATATTGGAAATAGGCATAAAAAGCCCCTATGAGTACAGATTATAGAAAGATGCTCTTGAAAAAAATCAAAAGATGTTGCATTTCACCGAAAAATTATAAGTTTCTCAACTGCACCAAGATCTTACATGTCAATCCCGGCTTTCTGCACTGTACAGACAGCAACAACGTAGTTTGAAGCTAATAAGCCCGTCCTAGTCCTATTTAACAAGACAGTGGTAAGCAGAAGACGAATAGATGCTACCTCAGCAGACTGAAGTACTTTTGCAAGTCCTACCAGATATCTTTAGCGTTTCCAAAAATTAGAAGTGTTAAACAGGAAGACAGACCAATAACTAAAAACAAATGCAAGGAAAGCCCAAAAATGGATCTTGATAACATTTGAGACCCTCAACTGAAATTAAATACCACTAACCTGCAATAGAGTTGTGTTATCTGGAAATGCTCATAGACTTTTGTGTTTGCCCTGCAAAGAAAAAAAAAAGGAGGTGACATTCAACAAGAAAAACTGAAAATTTTTGCCTCCAATATCTAGCATCATGTTAAATTTTCTTTGAAAGAAGACGGTTTAGAGCAGATACTCAGCCATGATGTTGGAACAGATTATTACTTATTAGGCCTGTATGCAAGTGAAAGGGCGATAAAACTTTTAGAAAGGAAACAGAGGGAACAAAAACGAGGAAAGGGCAAATCAAGAGCCAGTTATTAGATGAGAGAGAGAGAGATATGAATGAAAATTTTATTCAAAGGTCCATGCATTAATTTGAAGAGAAAGGCGAAGCAGCTCCAGCAATCTTATACCAAATATTAAGCAGGCCCAAATCCAAAATGAACCATGACAGCTCTATCTGCTTCACCTAATAAAAGGATATAAAAGTTGTAAATGCATGGTGGAGAACAATGATAAAAATAATTAAAGGTCAGAATCACATATACCAGACGCATACCAGCAGCTATTACAGAGGTTTCTGCATGAAGCTCACAGTGTTATACCTTCGGATCAGAGTTCAACAACTGAAGGTAGTCATTCAAGAATTCCAGTGGTTGTTCACGGATTGCTCAACTCTTTGCTTCAGCAGTGCCTTCATCATCTTCATCACCTAAAATTATAAAGTCAAGGTATTCTATGGCATGTGATTTACAATCTTTGCCGAGATTTTTCAACATCACACTGTACGTTAAAGAATCAGGTTGGATCCTTTTATCCAACATCTCTTTGAACAGTCTCGAATCCTCTTGCCAATTACCCAAATCACAGTTCTCATTTATCAAAATGGTGTATGTATATTTATTAGGGCCAATTCCTCTTTCTTTCATCTCAGCAAAGTAACTGTAAGCCTCATTTATTCTTCTATATGTGCAAAGGCCATTTATCAGCGCATTGTAGGTAATCACATTTGGCAGAATGCTCTTCTGTTGCATCTCCGAAAAATACATATGTGCAAGCTCAAGCCTCCCCTTACCAGCATGCGCATGAATTAGCACTGTGTAAGTTACAACTGTTGGAGATATCTCTTTGCTTATCATCTCATCAAACAACTCTCTGGCTTTCTTTAGGTTCCCAAATTCGAGGTAGGCATGAATTACATTGGTATATGTTACATGGTCAGGCATAAGGCCGTCGCCAACCATCTTATGTAATAACTCAGTTGCTTCTTCTAGATTACCCAGCTTAGCGATGCCATCAACAAATACATTGTAGATTATTATATCTGGTGGGAATCCCTTCACCGACATTTCCTCTTGTAGTTTGCACGCCTTCAATATGTCACCCAACCGCAGTTCACCTGCTATTCGAGTTGTGTAGGCAACGGAGTCCGGCTCCAACCCCTTGTGTAGCATCTCATCAAATAGTTCTTTTGCCAACAGTAAATTTCCCGCCTTGCAGGAACCATGAACCAGAATCGTGTAAGTAAACACATCAGGAGAGATACCGCATCTTGTCATTTCGTCTTTCAGCTGCATAGCATCCTCTAACTCACCTTTTCCACAGAGTCCATCCATAATTGTATTATAGGTGACTACCGTAGGAAAAATGTCACCACTTCTTAAATCATGTAACAATGAAAAGGCATCATTAGTATTTCCCAATCGACAATATCCATAAATCAAAGTGTTGTATGACCTTATGTCCGGCACCAAATTCTTCTTCAACATGACGGAAAACCACTGCCTTGCTTCACTTGCTCGCCCCTGCTGACAAAGAGCATAAATAAATGTATTATAAGTAGACACAGTCGGTGAAACTCCTCTTATCTCCATCTCTACTCCAAGACCCAATGCTTCAACAACCATTCCCTTCTCACCAGTAACCATAAATTAAAGGGTTATACGAATAAGCCGAAACCTCTAGTCCTTTATTCAACATCTCTCCAATTAAACCTCTAGCCAAGTTAAACTCCCCTTTCTTCGACAACCCATTAATCAAGATATTGTAAGTAACATCATTCGGATAACACTCCCTCCTCTGCATTTCTGATAAAAGATCCAAAGCCTGTTGCACTTCACCTTCTCTACAAAACGAATCCAGCATTGTATTATAAGTAACTATACTCGGCTTTATCGCGACCTCGCCCATCATCCTATACACTTCTCTCGCCTTCACAACCATATTCCTATCTCTTAAATTCCTTAAAATTCTATTACAATTCTTCACATCAGGCAACAGCTGATTCCTCAACATCTTTTCAAAAACTAACAAGCACTGCCCCACATTCGCGTTCTTCACATAAACCCTCAACAAAAGATTAAGTATCTCAACAGAAACTTGCAAATTCAAATACCCATCAACCAAAACATCGACAACTCTATGCACATTACAACTAATCACTCTTTCAACCACCCAATAAGCAGATTTAAACCAACCATTCTGTATTAAAATATCAAGAATAGTACAAAAAACAAACTCTGAATAGTTAAACCCTTTTTGCCCTTCAGCCCACTTGAATAATCTCAACGCCACATTCGGCCTACGACGAATTGAGCTAAGAGTTTTCACTAACAAATCAGAATCATAAACCAAAGAATTAAAACAATCTGGAACAACCCAAATTTCCTCATCAAAATCCCATCTCTTTTCTTCAATTTTCTTTAAGAAAAATTCTTAAAGTCTGAATCTTTAATGGGATTATCAGCCATAGCACCATTATTGTTATTATAACTCCTCTTAATATTATCAATATTATTACTATTGGCTCTAATATTTGTCATTGTGAGGTCAGAGAGGTATTGAAAATGATGAAGAGATGAATATAAGATTAAGCGTTTGAGGGAAGAGAAGAGAAAGTTGAAATCTTTAAGATAATAAAGGATCATTCTGTAAAAAAAAGAGAAAACTTATGAAAAAAATGCATTGAGTTTTGGGTATTGAAAAGAATGAATGGTACCTTAAACTGACGGCGTAGTTACCTGAGATGGGTATTGAATTTTGGCAACTGTACGCACATCAGAAGAAGAAGAAGAAGAGGAGAAGCAAAGAAGCGAGCGGCGAAGAAGGTAGCTGCGTGTTGTGTTTACTGTTGGATCTTTAGCTCGGAATCCGGACCCGTTTTTTGGGACCAAAATGCGGGTCGCACTTGAAGGATCCGTTTTTATTTTAACATAACAGGTCCTACTAGGAGATTTATAGTGTCTTTTATATACGTTGTTATCACCTAGTAATTATTATTAAATTAGTATATATTTTTCCACTAATTAATTACTTAAACATAATAAAATTCATGCGGTTTGATGCAAAATAACAGGTTGAGCCAAGTTTTTTTTCTTATTGTATTTTTTTTTCTTCAAAAGTTACTATTTATGTGTCTATTTGCGCATAAATACTATTTCAATACTTGCTTAATTATGAATAATTTGTAAATATTGAACTTTAAGTTAAACGTAGAAGCGTTGGTTTCAATATGTGATATTCGTATTCAAATAAAAATTCAGTATCCAAATACTCTTTTAATTCAACTTCAAATATGTATTTTTTCAACTTCAATGAAAAGTAATCAAGCACCTAGGAATCAAAGTAAATATTAATTTTCATTTACAATATTTAGGTTTTTAAAAAAAATTCAAAGCCAAGTTAAAGTTATATATATAATCCATGAATAATATGTGCATAACCATGTTTAATTAGTGTATAATATATAATACCAACTAGAAAAAGTAAACAGTGAAACTATCCGGCTATTTGTGTAAAGATCCCATTTAATATATCAAAACGGGCTGCCTTAGCCCAGACCAACCCTTACCATGTTGGACTATAAATGTTATTAGCCTAATCCTTCATTTAGAGGGCCTTTAAAGTTTAAAATGGGGATCTTTAAACAAATAGCCAGCTATATTCATTGTTTATTTTTTCTAGTCATATACATAGATTATACACAATTAAACACATATAATATATATTTGAGACTGACCGACAAAAGAATATAATCTATGTATATGACTGACTGACAAGTGTGTTGTTGTTATTGTTGGACTTCACTAGGTCTGTTGTTGTTATTGTTGTTGCTTATAGTGACTGACTGACAAGTGTGTTTGTTTCCATAATGAGCTTGACATCCGCAACCACCCCAGTATACTTCAGACTAGGGGTGGCAAATGGGCGGATCAGGTCGGATATGGGACGGGTCGAAAGCGGGTAATGAAAAAATGGCTAAATTATCCGACCCGACCCATGTTTAATACGGATAAAACAGGGGTTAACCGGCGGATAATATGGGTAACCATATTATCCATGACTACTTGAATATGATCACTTTTGGGAGAATTCTTAGTCTCCCAAACTTGAGGAACACCCAATTTGAGGCTTTACAAAATATAAAAGTTAAACCCATTAGTTATCTATTGGTTATCCTTTTCCTAAATGGATAATATAGTTGTTATCAATATTTGACCCGTTTCTAAAAAGTTCATTATCCAACCCATTTGTAGTGGATAATATGGGTGGTTAACTGTTTTCTTTTAACCATTTTGCCACAACTACTTCAGACTAAAAGAATATAATTGTTCTTGAGAGTAACTTACTGGACATGAATGGTATGATTTTAGTCCTTGATGTAGTTCATATGATGAGATCAACAGCCTCACCGGACGAAACTCAACAGATTGGCCATGCCCTCTATTGTCAACCAATGAGATCAATTGGCGTTGTAAAAGATGTTCAAATGCTTGGAAAGAAAGTAAATATTTGTCAGTATAACTTTAAAGATCCAGAGTTGAACGTTAGCAAAAATATTTGTATCTAAGTCCTTGCTATACACACCCAGAGGCATACATTCCGTGAATAATAATCACTTGTTTGGAACGAATCATGTATGCTTTTGTACTCTGGAAAGCATGATAACATGGTCAGTCGCATAACATTCACACTATTAACATAAGAAGGGAGCATGTAATAGTCAAACCTTTCATTACTGAATTGAAGTTGGTCGTCTCTTGCTCTTTGACTTCCAACCTCCTCAAGCAAACAAGAATATATAGCTCTAATATGAAGCAATCTGCTTCAACAAATAGAAAATCACGTTGTTTTCAGTTTGATTCATCTCTGTGGTGGCCTAGCTGTGGAGAGTATCCATATTATAAAATGGTTTGTGAGTGACTCACACGATATATAAAATGGTCGCAAAAAAATATTTAGTGAGAAGAGGGGTGGGTTGAAGTCTACAAAAGAACTCTGTTCTATTTTTTTCTGTATATATATAAGAGGACATCATATGAAAAAACTAAAAAATGCTTTGTGAGTGACTCGCACCATATCTCCAACAGTATGTTCTATTGGAGTTTAATCAATTTTCCAAGTAATTTTACGACTCAATGTCTGAGACTATTGTGTCACAGAAGAGAATAAGAGTGAGACAAGATATGAGAATAGCTGAAGAGTCCGAATCAAAGGAAAAAAGAGGAGGTGATCTGTAGAAAAGAAGGTGAAGAGTCTGAACTAACCCTAAATTTTCCTGAAGAAACTAGTCGACGCAGAATACATAATGACATGCCTTTCAAGGCTTCCAACTTGGGTTGCCGTTGAATACTTGAGAGTGATGTTTTAAAGTTATCAACTGACAAAAATCCAGACTTTGTATCCATATGGCACACAGCAGCAAACCTAGTGGAGATTACCATACAATGAGTTTTCATTGTGAAAAGAAAATTAGATGTTCGATACAAAATGTAATGCAAAAATAGGTAATTCAAGAATAGGTGTAGACTTACAGAAATCTCACTAGATGGTTCAAAGTTGGATCAGAATCGCACAAAGACTCAACGATGTCCTAGAATTTGTCATCTGACAACGTATTCTACTAAAAGTTAAGGATAACTTGATATCTACTAGCAAAATACTGATCACAGTTCGTCAACTTATAGCAAATTTGATGCTTGTTTATATGTCTAACCTTAAAAAGATGTTTTCAAAAGGAAATGAACTAATGTAAACCTCAATTTACAAGAGAAAGACAAGTATTTGGAGTATCTCATTTAGGCTTAGCACAAATGAGAGGTTACTACTGTCACAAAAGTATACCCTATACTTAGCTGAGCATTTCTGAGCCTCACTCTACTTACATCTCTCTCTCCTGGTCTTCTGGTATCATTTATGTTTAATTCATTCCTTGACAACGAAAAGTGTTACGAGTCAAAAGGATACAAGAAGCTTTGTGTTATGAGCAGCAACATATTGAGGAGGAAGTTCTAACTCTGTTGGCAGTAGTAAAGCGTGCTACAAAATTCTGATATACAGATTGTCAGTATTGATAAAATTTCTTGCAGGCAAAAAATCAGAAAACAAGGTATGCAACGAGAAGTTACTTTTGCAAGTCTTCCTGCGAAGGGAGTAGAAACAACAGCTTTCTATGAGAGAAACGAGACCTTACTCTCTTCTCTAAGAATTGATCGGCATCCTGCACAACACAAGTTTCACCACTCTTAATGGGCTAGTTGTATGTCGTAAATGACTCAAATGTGCATTAATGACGAGGAAACTATTTCAGAAATTAGGGAATCTCCCAAAGTCGATTTTGTTCATAAGCAACTCAAAACGAGATACTCAATAATTTCAAAAAAATAGGAAAAAAAGAAAATAAGCATGCTCATTTGATTTTCAAGTCCCAAAATACCAAAAACATCTGGACTTAATGATGCTGAGGAATGTATGATTCATATATAGAACGTGCAACAAAAATAATAATGCTAAAACTAAGGAACATACCAATCTGCAACTCACACTAATGACAACAGCTTGTGACGTTACAGACTGCACTGCATCTAGAAAGCTATAGAGTAATCGTTGTTTACCCTACAAATTATAGAGACATCCAATCCTGAAAACTTAACATATTTTCTCATATATTTTTTTCACTATATGAGAACTTTACCTGTGTAAAAAGGTCAAACTCATCCAACACAAAGATAATAGTTTTATGTGCCAACCCACACTCCCTAATACAATAGAATGAGCACATCCACCAGGCGGGGAGAAAAATGAGTACACGTTTTGTTTGAAGATTATCAAATTTACACATTTGTTATCTAAAGGAAAAGAATCTAATTTCAACATTATCCGGCACTTTGAAAAGAGCCTATTCTTTTCGGCAGTAAAGCAAAGAAGGAAATTACAGGCCATATAGACTCACCTTAACATGGAAAATACAAAGTGGGAGTTGTCGTCAAATGATGCCTGTGAAGGAAAACACAACGACTGATTGATGTCGTTGGTTAAAATGTAAAATGAATATCATAACCTGAATGGATACAGTACCATTTTCTAGAACATCAAGTGATGCTCCATACATAATTGCCTTGCAATCTACTGCGAGTCAATGTAGAGTTAGATTAGCTATAGCTGCATTTGCACAAACATCATCACTTAAGTTTAACATCCAATTTTTCCATTAATAGTCTTGTATATTCTAATCAGCTCAATGGATGAAGAACTACATTTCCTTTCTTAGTTACAGTTATATCCTCTAAGTTGGACCATCATTCCACCTATAAAAAGAAAAGTGTAATCGGATTTCCATTAATGACTTAAGCCTCTTTCTTTAGGGCCTTTAAAGTCCGACAATTATCGGATTCTTCTTATGTTTTATTATCTCTATATTCTTGCGATAGCGAAGGTGTGGTTCATCCTCTAAGAGAGAATAGTTGCGAAGGTTCGAATCGAAGATCTTCGCGAGACAACCCGGGGCACCATAGCATGTCGGGAATAAGGGGGACATTGTGAA